GCGCCGCCCTCCGCCCGCCACCGACTGGCGCCCGCGTTCTAACTGCCCCCTCCCTTTATCCCCCAGCCCCCACCCGGTCCGCAACGGCCTCGCGCCTCGCAGACCTGGCCTCGTGTGCACCCGTCCGCGCGCCAACCGCCTCCCCCTTCCTCCACGCGGGCACCGTGCTTCCCGTCCCTCAGACGGCCTCACGCGCCCCGCAGATCTTTCTGCGCCTCCTCCTCACTCCGACTCACACCAGAGTCCACCATTACTCCCCACTTCAACCTCGCGCAGACCGGGTGAAAAGCGTGTGAGGGGGAGGGGAAGGGCACCTTCCCCTCCCCCCAAACATCCCGAAGCGACAACCTAATGTGGCCACGCGGCCAGCCTGCCGCAGCCCGAGAATCCAAACGGAGGCGGTGCCGCCCACTCTCTGACTTCAGGGGATCCGTGGATCAGGCTCGGAGGGTGCCTGGGGAGCCCAGTCCTTGGCCGCGCTCGGCCGCTCACTCACCTGAGGACGCCATGTTGGGAGAGGGAGAGAGAACGCAAAGGACCCGGATGAGGCAATCACGTGATTATAGCGGGCGCGTCGGGCTAGGAGACGCGAAGCTGGGAGGGGGCGGGGAGGTGAGGAGGGATACAGGAGGCGGGGCGGCGCAGCTCTAGGTTCGTAAAGCAGCGCGAGGAGGCGGCGCGGCGTCCGACGGGAAGCCCTGCGCGACATGTGGCTAAAGGGGAGGGGCCCGGGCTGTCGCGAAACCCCTCACGCTTTACGTAGAGCGACGCGCCGGCGAGGGGCAGGGTCTGAGTCTGGGGCGGGGTCTCAAATTTCAAGGACTTCCGGCCCGAGGGCCGAGCGGAAGGGGCGGGGACGCGCCGACTGCTTCCACGTCCCTGGAACCGAATGCGGGGTGCTGGAACCCGGAACGTGTGCCACAATGCGTTTTCTGAAGCAAAGATTCGGAACGTGTTTGAAAATCGCTCTTTGTTACAGCAAGAGTAGCCCAGTAGCCTGCGTGAGGCTGGTGTTCACTGGGTCTGTTTCGAACGGACAAGAGAGTTAACATTGAACGTTTATTGTCCACGGGGTTTTTACTCGTTTGACTTTGAATGTTTTTGACGGGGTTCAATGAAAATCAGGCCCTTATGGCCTTTTGGTAGTGGTACGTTTCAACATGTGGTAGTATTTCATGCCATTACAATTTTCATGGAGACACTTTGTGGCATTTTGGGGTACAACAGAGAGCAAAGTTGTCCCAAAGGAGGTTATAGTCAGGTGAGGGGAAGACACAGTAAAGTGTAAATACATAAAGTGATGAAGGTGATGTGATAAAGGGTAATTAGGTACCACTTTTGATTGCCTGGTTTGGGAAGAGCGAAAGTGGCATTTAAATTGACTTTCGAGTTACAAACAGCCATTTCTGTGAACTTTGAGCTGTGGAAGACAGCAGAAGAACATGAGATAAAATGCTGCAAGACGGGAACCTCTTTGCACATTGAGGAATTTAAAGACTAGTAGCTAGAGTGTAGAGGGGGACTGGTAAATATGAGTTTGAGAGCGGTAAGGGCTCTCAAACCAGATTTAGTTCTTTGGATTTTACTCCAATTTGCCTGGAAAAGCATGGAATGATTTTATGCAAGGGACTGGAATGATCTGAAAATGAAATTTTGAAAAGGGTTGTTCAAGGCCCTCCTGGTGATGCAGTGGGCTTAAGCACAGCACTGCAACTGCCTCAGCGGGAGTTTGATTACCAGGCTGGAGGTGACCTACATGGCACAGCAGACCTCATCTGTCTCACCCACTGGTCCCCTCAACAGGGTACTTCATCTGCCTGTTCTGCTCCCCACTCTGTCTCTGGTGAATCCTCTTTCCGCCCCTGAGCCTCTGCCCTGTACCTCAGTTCTTTATGGATAAATAAATCTTAAAAAAAAAAAAAAAAGAAAGAAAGAAAAGGGTTGTTTAGTATCAGTCTTGTTATGGATGGTGGTTCCGTGGGTGTATAAGCAGACATTCAGTAGTACACTTAAGTTTTGTCCACTTTAATGTGTAAAGGCCATACTTTCATGGAAACCATAATTGCTTACTTAGGTTGCTGAACAGAGGATGGATTATACTGACCTGCTTATGGATGAGAAAGACCAGCTAACAGGTAGTTATAGTTAGGGCCCAGTTATGGTTTTTCTAGGCCCTTCTGCCTCATAGGCCCATTTTGCTGTAAAAAAAAAAACTTTCAAAAGCTTTATTTTATGACTGTGCTGGTACAGAAGTGAACATAATATTATACATTAGAACATCTTGTTTGCCCTACATGTTTTCTTATAATTTTAAAGTAATTAAAATGATTTGTGGGCCTCTAAAAGAATAACATGGCCCAGGTACCTCATCTGCTTTGCCTGCGGCTACATCAACCCTGGCTGCTGTAATCCTGATGAGGGAAGATGGTGAGTGAGACAAGAGTGTAGAGATGGAAAGGCATCTATAGAGATATGTTTTGGAAGTAGACTTGATGACTGACTGTCTACTGGTGGGTGACTCCTGAGTGTCATCTCAGGGCCTTTTACATGAGCGAAGGTGGCAAAGCCTGAGTGGAGCAGGCTTGGAGAGGTGTGTGGGTTTGGTGTTGGTCATGTTTGACATCGATTCTAGTCCAGTGTCTCATATATTTTTTTGAAGATTTATTTAGACATACAGAACTGGGGAACAGGCCAGAGGTGTAGGGGCTGTGAGATGTTTCACCAGAGACAGAATGGGGAGTAGAACAGGCAGATCAACAAAGTACACTGCTGAGGGGTGCAGCGGGCAGGTCAGGAGCGGTCTGCTGTGCCATGTGGGTCACCTCCGGGGCCGGGGACTGAACCCCCACTGAAGCGGCTGCGGCTAACTTGAAGTGCTGTGTCCTAACCAGTTGCATCACCAGGGAGGGCCTGTTTCTCATATTTTAATGATCACTGGAATTTTAAAAGTCAAATCTCACTTACGAGGGACTGGGGTGAAGCTCAAGATTCTGTTTGAATCACTTAAAATTGGCATGGTGTCTGAAAATTAAGGAAAGTCCATTAAGCATTGCAGGCGGACTTAAAGTTCAGAGAAGAGTAAGAAGGTGATACTGGCCCAGGGGAGACCGTCAGTTACCAGGGTTCTACCACACATTTATCAAGCCACTTAAACGTAATTCTCTCAGTGATGCTCTGAGGCTAATGTCATCAATCCTGTTTTTAGATAAAGTGCAGGCTCACAAACAACAAACACCTGATCCAGGTGCCCATGGCCAAGTGACAGCTGCAGGCCCGGAGCTGTCTATCAGATCCAACTTCTAGTTTCCAAGAGACATCGTCAAATATTTTTTAATTAAAAGACTTAACATTGGGGCCCTCCCTGATGGTGCAGAGGGTTAAAGCACAGCACAAGGAAGCTAAAGCCACCTCAGCAAGAGTTGGATTCCCACCACAGAGGTGACCCACATGGCGCGGCAGACCTCTGCTGGCCCACCTGCTGCTCCCCTCAGCAGTGTACTTTGTCAGTCGGCCTGTTCTGCTCCCCTCTGTGTCTCTGGTGAATCCTCTCACCGCCCCTGCACCTCTGGCCTGCACCCCAGTTCTTATATACATAAATAAATCTTAAAAAAAAAATGACTTAAAATTGTAAAATACATCTATGACCACAACCTTTAAAATTAATTCTGAAGGAATTTGGAGGAAATGAACTATTACCTTTGCTATATAACAGATTATTCCAAAATTTATTGGCATAAAACAACACTTATTATCTTAGTTTCTGTGGGTGAGAAATTGAAAATCATTTGCTGCGTCTCTTAAGAGTGAACATATCCTCCGCTCTGTTTTCCTGTTATTTCACTTGTCGTTTTTCACCCTGACCACTGCATTAGTCTCGCCTCCTAATAAGTCTTCCTTCCTAACCCATGAGTATGTGGCTACCAGAATTGTTTTCCAAAAGCCTAGGTCTGAACACGTTCTGCTGCTGAGAAAGTTTCCATGACTGTAGGACCTAGGCAGGCTCTCAAGGCTGGGCAGAGTCCAGCTCAGATGCCTGGCTCACCCTTCCTTCTCACCACCCTCTCCTGTTTGTGGTTATATTTCAACCACGTACACCTGGGCCTTTCCTAACTTTGAGGCTTTTGGCCCTTAGCTCTGCTTAGAATAATTTTTTCTCCTTCACTGAATGGCTCAACAGCAGTTTGTGCTCTAAAGGCTCCTCAAGCATCACCTTTTCTAGAAGGCTTTTCCCGAGCTCCTTTCTGTGAACCCCAGTAGCACTGTGCCTGCGTCTTCATTTCGGGGCGTGTTTATCTTGTTCACCTTGAACTGGCTTCCTCAGCGCCCGTCATCTCCAGATGTCTTTGTGCTTTCTGTACATTTACATCTAGAACATTGTCGTTGTTCAAAACGCTTCTGCTTGTGCTAAAATGTAAATTGCAAAGAATTCACATTCAGTGAGCACATTTCCAAAAAGTTTTCATAGTGCATACTGATTTCTGTGTCTGGATTCATTTAGTGTTCATTGAACTGGAAAACAGCCCTTAGAGCCAATAGCTTCTCTCAGCATTATAGCAGAACAGTCTTCCTTTAGACTATTTGAAACTGAAAATCTTTGGAAACTAAGTTAACCATTCAGCAAACATAGGTTTATAGCAGTTTTCCAGAGTCGGAATTTCCTAAGCTATTGGGATTAATTTTGCATTGGCATTACAATAATTTGGTTGAAGTTCTCCAATTTTTTTTGACAACTACCCTGTTCTCTGGTATCTTAAAAATTTCAAATAATTTTATATGGAAGTTTAAAAATATTTTTCATCTCAACATTAATTAATTCGTTTTAGTTAAAGAAAGCCTTCCCTTTGCCTTAGCCTTCTAGTTTAATGAAGGCATTAAACCAGATGATTTCAAGTTATCTTTTTTTGAGTCATTTTGAGTTTATGAGGCTAATTGTGGGTGTCAGGATCTTCTTCCCGGCAAAGTTGGCATAACATTCCTCAGCCAACCCGGATTAGGTTAACCCATTAATTGTGAATGCAGGTCATGTACCATTTCTATTTTGTGAAACTGAACTAACCGAACTATTGTTATTTTCTGCCTGATGTTCCCACAATCCAAGCAAAACATATCACAGATTTAAAGATAGTTTCCAAAATAAAAGTGTTTTTATCCCTGACTTTTGAATGTGTAAGGTTCCTTTTAAATATATAGCAAGATTCTACTGCGATTCTTCTGGAATGGTGAACTTATCCTTTGTAGAGAATGACAGTATGCTCTGGACACAAAAGAACACAAAGCCCCACAATTACCCGAGAGCTGTGGAGAATGAACAAAGGCGAGTGGATTTTGGAAGTGAGCTAACACTTGCAGGAGACACTTACGTGGGGGGGCGCAGGTGGGGAGAGTGCCGAGTGGCCGAAGCTGTTAGAAGCGGAAAACCAGCCCCACTTCTGGCATAAGGGAGGCTTTCCCTCGGTCCGTTTCTGCTCTCAGAAAGTGAAGGGGAGTTCTGGTGTCTCTGCCCTCACCTGTGACTGGTCCGTGAACCATGAATGCACGAAGCAGGCTGTCGGGAAGAGGCTGACAGCA